GGGAATTACGTACAACATCCGACAGAGCGAACTGTTGGCAATTGCGACATCACCAAACCACGTGTTTCACGTTGCAAATTATGCAGTTTTGAATCAAGTCACTCAAGCCATTAGAGGAGGTGAGTTACAGAGAGTTACAAATACAGAAAACCCTACATATAATAACCGAGAATTTAAGAGTCTGTTAGGCTAAACATTTTATCTAGACCCCGCTTAAATAAGAACCTGTTTAGGTTAGAATTTGAAAGCAAGTTCTTGATTTATCTAATAGAGTCAAAACTAAAAAGTTTATAAATCAAAGAAAATAAGCTTTTCACAAAGTAATGAAAATGACCCAGAACCCTGCAAATGACAATCAGATAAATAACATGTCTATATGAACGCACAACAACAAATAATTGTATTTCTTCAGTGAAAATACTACATGACAATCTCAACTACTAGTGACTGTAAGCAATGTTTTCCAGCATCATGGACTGTTAGAAAATTTGTGCATAATTTATATAAATCATATACCACACCTACTGAAAATGAGCAGAACATTCTATAAATATTCAATATAAATACTGTATAATATTACAGTCAAACAATGACAACAATCAACAGGGGCCCCACTCCAAATATGCCCAAGGGCCGCCTCTTCCTCCGTTACGCCACTGCCAATACTAATACTAAACATTTCTAACACAGATCTTTCCAAGAAGTGCTACAACGGTCAGACAGTTTACGATGAATGCGGAAGAAAATGCAGATGCCTAAACGGAAAACTGGTCAAGTGTTGTCGCCTTCGAAGAGAATTTACAGACATGTCCTACACTGAACGCGTTCGCTACATCAACACTGTTAAGACAGCTTCGACCAATCCAGCTTACAAGCCTCAATATGACACCCTTCTGACACTACACAAAACAATCTTCTTCAGTGGTATTCACGATATAGACTTTTTCCTACCGTGGCATCGTTGGTACATATTACAATACGAAAATCTTCTACAACAAATCGATTGTCGCGTCACCGTTCCTTATTGGGACTGGAGTTTGGTCGGAGCTAACCCTTTCTCGAGTTCGATTTGGAACACAGGTGCGGGCGGCTTCGGTGGGAATGGAGTGCCAGGGGGGAGCTGTGTGAACACTGGCCCATTCAGACAGGGGGTGTGGTCACTTCCAGCTAGCGCCGGGGGAGGATGCTTGAGGCGAGACTTTGCTGGTACAGCCCCAGACGCAATTGCAGTTCAGAATCTGATATCGTCAAATTCCAACCCGGCAGACTTCTTCAATTTCGAACAAATGTTGCGAATCCAATTCCACGATCTTGTTCATTGCCGTATCGATGGCACAATGTGCACTATAGATTCCGCAACTGCTCCCGAGTTTTTCCTGCATCATGGCTTCGTTGATAAGATCTGGTGGGACTGGCAGAAGCAAAGCAACGCGCACAAGTTCAATACATATTTCCTCACGCAAGCTGGGTTAATGACATCCACACCGTATCGATCCAAAGATTTTCTTGATTTGAATAATCAACCTGGTTGCGTATGCGCCGAATATGTGGACCCACGTAATGTTGCCTACGGACGAATTAAAGGTTTGTCACTAGTCACTAGGCTACCACAAAAAAGTATATGTATGACATTTAAGCAAGGCAAGAAAGTATAGTGCGAATTTTTTAAGCCGGTTTTGAGTAAAAGGAACTTAAAGTTGGCAAAGTAGTAGCAATTAGCATAAGTTAGCGCATTTTCTCATATTTGTGCGTTAAAACTCAACATCGTCAAAGAAAATCATGCAACTGGCTTATTAAATGTCTTATATATACTTTGTTGCAAACTTTCTAATGGATAGCTTGTTTTTATATATTGTTAAAACTTAAAACTTAAAAGTGAACTTGATATTTTGCATTTTTTGTCAATGTTGTAGTAATCTAAAATTCTAAAATTTTCTCCTATAAGGCCAAAATTAGAGTTGCCAACATATGTAGCCTTGTTCATTTATGTCTATGTTCTAAGAAAATGTCAGCTGTAACAGAAAATGCCATCATACAAATATTATTGCATATTTTCAAGTTTTGGCCGACCGTCGACAAAGGAGAACTTCTTCCCTTAGTCCGGAAGTTATAATTATAGCAGCCAGACGAAGGGTTTTCGCTCGAAACGTCGAAGTTCTCCTTGTATTTTTCAGTTCTATCCGCTACCAACCCGCAGCTTTGAGAAAACAAAATTACTTAGAATACAAAGTTTTTTGCGTTCACTTTTAACCTCTACGTTTGCCTGTTAATGCTTACCTGAAAATCAATCTGAATTACCTAGCAATTCACTGAAATTACTCATAAACAAATATTGGGAGGGGGGTGGATGGTTGTTACACCTTCTACACCCCTCTCACCGGTCGCCACGTTCCTGATCATCTGCAATAACACAATAATTGTCTCTCTCTGCCTCTCATTACATTACATTCTACTTCATTTAGCCATGTCAGTTAGTCAACTAAAGAGTGTCGCACGATTGCCACTACCACCGCTGTCAAGCAAGGCTGCCAAGTTGTTCCGTACTTCCTCCGCAGAAATGAAGCTAGTTACCAGACTTCGCGCCAAGATCAAACCCAGACGAACTGTGTCCAAGAGCGCCTTGCATGGCTCTGACGCGAAACTTGGCATAAAGTTGAGCGAAATTGGACAAGGTGACTAAGTTCGTGTACTTTCGAAATATTTTATAACTAAAGTGCACTCGGAGACTAACGGTTAGTTGAAGGGATTTTTTGCACAGTGGAAATATCGATCGGAAGATTATATAGCTAACCAGGAGCTGAGCAGCTCTAAAATTGTATATAATCTTTCGCCCAAAATTTGCATCTGCAAAACCCTTCAACTGTTAGTTCTATCGAGCGAGATGGCAAAAAATCTCGATGTTCAATGGACGATTCCAGCTATAAACGAAATTTTGATCTAGAAAAGAAGAACAATATCCATTACTATAGCTGGAAAGAGCATCCTAAAATGAGTAAAATTGCAAAGTTTGGTTGCGAATTGTTGAAAAGTGAAGAAAATATAGCCCTGTGAAGCTCGCAAATTTTGTATATATTAATTTGCATTACGCGCGGGTAAAACAACCAGTTTGAAGACAAAAGTGGTTATTTTTACCGCACGTAATAAAAATATATACAAAATTTGGGAACTTCACAGGAGTCTATATTTTCTTCATTTTACAACATTTAGCAACCAATCTTTGCAGTTTTACTAATTCTATAAGACGCTCTTTCTAGCTATGCATGTGTTGGATTTCGTTCTTCTTGCCTTGATCAAAATTTAGTCTATATCCAGTGGAATCACCCCGGCATTAGATTGCGTACCTCCGCCAGTGAATTAAGGTGATTTGTCAGTAATTGTTCTGGAAATGAGAATTTGCTGAAACTTCCCAAGGGTGAAGGTTATGACTTATGATATGCTCATATATATAGATCTGCCAATTCATGTCTCCAAATTACAGTTCAATTTAACCGGGTAAATTTGACCAAAGGAAAATGAAATTTGTTCGAGTTAGCGAGGAGTTCGAGCTAAAGGCCGCTCACTATTTATTGTTCAAGGGGAGGCTGAGGAGAAGCTCTACAGTTATAATATTTTTTCGTTGCCTCCCTCTTAAGACAAGTAGAATTTTCAAACCCCTTCCAACAACAAGAACATAAATTTTGAAGGCGTCCCACCTACTCTAGCGCTTTATTTAGAGAAACAAAAATAGATAATGGGGACCAATTTTACATGAACATAAGAGACTATTTATTTGTCTTCCATTTATAAATATTAATATTAAAGGTCTCCAAACATTGTTATTTGTTGTTTTGTGATACATTTTATAAACTACTAATGTTTTTTCAAACTAGTAAATCTTTTCAAAGCCCCCTTCTTTTGTCTCTCTGTATTTTTCAAAGCCCCCCTTTCAGGTTTTACAAATTTAAAGGCCCTCCTCAAGTTTCTTCTCAATCCCCCCTGTACACTAAATAATGAGCGGCCACTAATGGGTGTGTGATTAAAAAAAGATAATCCAGATTTAGAGTGCTCTTGCATATGTGTGCTCAATATTGAGTGCACAGATCTATTTTTTATATTAATAAATATTAGGGCTTTAGCCTTCGAATTTTATTACTTCAAGTAAAAATGACCAAATGCGAGCCGATTGAAATCACATTTTTTCCCACCTATATGTGCATTACTAAAGCAGTGCAGAAAAAACATAAAAAACAATTTACTGCAATGCAATTTCCACGTATTTGGTCATATGCAATTTCGATTCGTATCTGGTCATTTTCTCTTATACAAAAAAGGTAGCATTGGATAGCTGCAGGGCCGTAACTAGACGCCATAATTGGGGGTGTGAATATTCATATATTCATGTTCACATATACCGTAAAAACAATGGCTTTCAAAAGGAATCCGTCGGGCAGAACACCAATATATGAATTGCACTCCCCAATTATCGCGTCTACGGCCCGGGACAGCTGAAAGCATGAATTTTCTTGCTGTGTAAATATTTTCCCGATAAACTCAATACCTATAACGCACGCGAACATGCGGAAGTTGAAATAGCCTAACTTTTTTATGCACACTGTATAAGCTTACCTGAGTTCCAATTGATCATTTTATAGTTCGTCGCATAGGCCCCATTGGTGTCAATGGCAGCCGAGGAGCTTTTGATGAGGAACAGCAGAATAAATCCGAAGAAGAAATTTTTCAACTATAAATGCTACCAAGGACAACAACGGAATTGAAATCCATGTGATATTATTGTATTAATATGTTCTTCCTAATAAACGACATGTGAAACAGTTATCAGTGTAAGAGTTAATGGAAAAATCATTGACATATAACTATATAGGGGTATTTACGAAATCGGCTAGGGACTTCAACAGTTCAACTATAACAGACTTCAGACTTTAGAATTCGGAACTTAGAATGAGTGCCAAACTTCATTACATATAGGCTCTTGCATTTCATTGAAGAGTCTTAAATGTGTTAAATTTTTGGGTTATTAGTTTTGTTCAGTTAATAAGAGTAACACAGCCTTGCATGCCAAAAATTATACACAAAGCGTTAAAAACATGTCCTGGGGGTAATACAGTCGATACATAATCGCAAGACAAAAATTAGTTTTGAATTTAATTTTAGCACAATGCCTTCCCGACATAGCATACATGCAAAGCTTTTGCTTCTTGCATATGATAGTAGCTATAAGCGTGCTTTAAGATGGCCGTTTTTAGACTAAGACTTGGGCAAGCATTTATTTGTCTACTTGGCCCCTACTATGATTTACAAGCTTCGCCGCACACAACGGACAAATATTTAACAATTATTCGACGAAGGCGAGGTGATTATCGGGGAATATCCGCCGAGATGAAGTCGAGGTCAATATTCCCCGATAATCACCGAGCCTGAGGCGAATAATTGTTTTAGTATTTTTGCACAAGTTTCTTTGTGTTTTTTTCTGGTCTGAATTCATTTTAATATCGCTTATTTCTTTATCACTAACTTCGACAAAACGGCTAGCCGTCATTTTGAAAATTTCGATTTTGTTATGTTCACCTGTAGGTGTACGTCAAGTTTGACCAATCACCCTGTAGGATTTGTTATGTTCACTTGTGCAAAAATACTAAGACTAAATATGCATTTGCACAAAAACGACAAACAAAAACATATAATACATATCCGGTAGAGACTAACCACACAGATATTCTCCACTTACTTACTGCAGATAAGCCGTCCGGTTCAATATGCATCCCTACCAACGAAAGCTTGTTCATGTTATTTCAACACATACTATACAGTATACAGTATACTGTATACTGTATGTACTATTTAGAACATGAGCGGCCGTGTTGTATCGGATATCAAATGACTTAAAAAACGACTCATCTTATGAGTTCATTGGCGAAGCAATTTTTAAAAATAAATATTGTTTAAGCCGAGAAATTAAAGTTAAAGTTCATGTAAATCAACATGAATTTGTATCACATATACAGATACGACACGCTTATGATTTTTTTTTGTGTTTTCTTCATGAATTATTAATGAGTTTTTAAGACTATTAAAACAACATTGCTGTGTACGTACTGTACTTGTTTTAGGCTTGTTTTATATGTCAAATTAACAATAGACAATGAAGCTTAATGAAGTTTATAATCTCATTATCTATTATTGTCTTAATTGCATTCGACGCGACCAAAACTAAATTCGACGTACAGGGTGCATGTCCCAAAAAACCCCGAAAACTATTGAAATCACTTATTGTTAAAATTTGAATGCTTTCCAAACAGTTGAACGAAATGATGCGTAAAATATTGACAAGGTGCATATATTAAAATTTAGGACTGTTTTACACGTCGAATTTTGGTCGCGTCAAATCAACTAAGACAATATAGTGAATAGATAATGAGATGAGATATCACATTAAGCTTCATTATGTATTGTTTGAATTGCTTCGACGTCGACGCGACCGAAATTCAACGCATAAAACAGGCCTTAGTTAAGAACATCTTCTTGTAAAGCTGGCGATTTTCTGCTCTTGGGAATTAAAAACAGCTTCTTAAACAGGTTCTTTAGGCATAAAATTTACTTATGTCAGTCATTTATGGACTCGTGGCAACAAACAGAGAGGGTGGGGAAACAGGGGTATTGATCACGTTTCACAACGAAAAGGGATTACGTTTCACGATCCACGTGTCTTAAAAAAGCAATTTCATGGAAAACTAGATTCTACTAAAATAATATAATAATAATAGGTTTATTTACATAATACCATAGTTGCCTCGAAATCCTTTGTCTCGAGAGGAACGATTAATCACTAATTTACCTCATTACCCATGCATACGCTTTTGTCTTCTAAATTTCCCTCATCAAGCATGCAAGGAAAAGTTAGAAGACAAAGAAATCCTTTGTTTTCAACTAAATTTCCCAGGGAAATCTAGTTAAAAACAAAGGATATCTTTGTCTTCTAACTTTCCCCTGCATGCTTGATGAGGGAAATTTAGAAGACAACAGCGTACCCTCATTATCTCTGATTGGAGAGCTGTACCTTATTGAAAATCATCGGCACAACTATGGACAGTATCTGACTACACTGTCCCGTACACATTCGAACAATCACTTTGCCAGCTCTTGAACATTACAATTGTGGGAGAAAATTCCGTTTATGCGCATGCCTAAAACGCGAATAAAAACGGAGATGTGTTTCTCCGAGTGCGTATATATGAAAAGTGTTCGTACCACAATCATAACACAATCAAACAGCATTCAAAACAGGCAACACACTACGCGCGATTCCCTCGGCAACAATGATATTACAAAGTAATAGCATGGCATTACGGTCGATTAGTGATGAAATAATCACCCTGAATGCCATGCTATTACTTATAAGTATGCTTAATGCATGGTACAGTATCTACGCTTTAAATTCTCTCATTTCTCTACCTGTCATTTAAAAACTACAACATAACCTACAAGTTTGAATGACGAGCATGTACGACGACCTCCGCGAATTGTCCTCAGAGTGAGGAACCTTGTCCTCAACGTGAGGAACCTTGTCCTCAGCGTGAGGAACGTTGTCCTCAGCGGGAGGAACCTTATCCTCAGCGTGAGGAACTTTGTCCTCAGCGTGAGGAACCTTCTCGTCAGCGCGAGGAACCTTGTCCTCAGCGAGAGAAACCATGTCCTCAGCGAAAGGGACCTTGTCCTCAGTGTGAGCAACGTTGTCATCAGCGTGACGAACGTTGTCCTCAGCGTGAGGAACTTTGTCCTAAGCTTGAGGAACCTTGTCCTCAGCGCGACGAACCATATCCTCAGCGTGAGGAACCTTTTCCTCAGCGAGAGGACCTTGTCGTCAGCGTGAGGAACCTTGTCCCAGCGAGAGGCGCCTTGCCCTTAGCGTAAAGAACGTTGTCCTCAGCGTGAGGGACGTTGTCCTCAGCGTGAGAAACCTTGTCCTCACCGTGAGGAACCTTGTCCTCAGCGTGAGGAACCTTGTCCAAAGCGTGAGGAACGTGGTCCACAGGGTGAGGGACATTGTCCTCAGAGTGAGGAACCTTGTTCTCAGCGTGAGCAACCTTGTCCTCAGGGTGAGGAATCTTGTCCTCAGCGTGAGGAAACCTGTCCTCAGGGTGAGGTACCTTGTCCAAAGCGTGAGGAACGTTGTCCTCAGGGTGAGAGACCTTGTCCTCAGCGCGAGGAACCTTCTCCTCAGCGTGGGAACCTTGACCTCAGCGTGAAGAACTTTTTCCTCAAACTAAAGAACCTTGTTTTCAGCGTGAGGATCCTCGTCGTCAGCGTGAGGAACCTTGTCCTGAGCGAGAGGAACGTTGTCTTCAGCGTGAGGAACGTTGTACTCAGCGTGAGGAACCATGTCCTCAGCGTGGGAACCCTGCCCTCAGCGTGAGCAACGTTGTCCTCAGAGTGAGGAACGTTGTCCACAGCGTGAGGAGCGTTGTCCTCAGCGTGAGGAACCTTTTCCTCAGCGTGGGAACCTAGACCTCAGCGTGAGGAACGTTCTCCTCAGCGTGACGACCGTTGCCCTCAGTTTGAGGAACCTTCTCTTCAGCGCGACGAAACTTGTCCTCAGCGTGAGGAACCTTTTCCTCAGCGTGAGCAACCTTGTCGTCAGCGTGAGGAACCTTGTCTTCAGCGCGAGGAACCTTGTCCTCAGCGTGAGGAACCTTGTCCTCAGCGTGAGGAACCTTGTCCTCAGCGCGACGAACATTGACCTCAGCGTAAGGAACGTCGTCGTCAGGGTGAGGAACGTCGTCCTCAGGGTGAGGAACGTTGTCCTAAGCTTGAGGAACCTTGTCCTCAGCGTGAGAAACCTTGTCCTCAGCTTGAGGAACCTTCTCCTCAGCGCGACGAACCTTATCCTCAGCGTGAGGAACCTTTTCCTCAGCGTGACGACTTTGTCATCAGCGTGACGAACTTTATCCCAGCGAAAGTGGCCTTGTCCTAAGCGTGAGGAACGTTGTCCTCAGCCCGAGGGACGTTGTCCTCAGGGTGAGGAACCTTCTACTCAGCTTGAGGAACCTTGTCCTCAGCGTGAGAAACCTTGTCCTCAGCGTGAAGAAGCTTATCCTCAGCGTGAGGAACGTTGTCCTCAGGGTGAGGGACATTGTCTTTAGCGTGAGGAACCTTGTTCTCAGCGTGAGCAACTTTGTCCTCAGGGTGAGGAATATTGTCCTCAGCGTCAGGGACGTTGTCCTCAACGTGAGGAACCTTGTCTTAAGCGTGGGAACCTTGACCTCAGCGTGAGGAATGTTGTCCTCAGCGTGACGACCGTTGTCTTCAGTTTGAGGAACCTTGTCTTCAGCGCGACGAAACTTGTCCTCCGCGTGAGGAACCTTTTCTTCAGCGTGAGGAACGTTGTCCTCAGCGTGAGGAACTCCGTCCTCAGCGCGAGGAACCTTGACCTCAGCGTAAGGAACGTCGTCCTCAGGGTGAGGAACGTTGTCCTAAGCTTGAGAAACCTTGTCTTCAGCGCGACGAACCTTGTCCTCAGCGTGAGGAACCTTGTCCTCAGCTTGAGGAACCTTCTCGTCAGCGCGACGAACCTTATCCTCAGCGTGAGGAACCTTTTCCTCAACGTGATGACTTTGTAATCAGCGTGAGGAACCTTATCCCAGCGAAAGTGCTTTTGCCCTAAGCGTGAGCAACGTTGTCCTCAGCCTGAGGGACGTTCTCCTCAAGGGTGAGTAACCCTCTACTCAGCTTGAGGAACCTTGTCCTCAGCGTGAGGAACCTTGTCCAAAGAGTCAGGAACCTTGTCCAAAGCGTGAGGAAAGTTGTCCTCAGCGTGAGGAACCTTGCCGTCAGCGTGAGGAACGTTGTCCTCAGCGTGAGGTACGTTGTCTTCAGCGTGAGGAACGTTGTCCTCAGCGTGAGCAACGTTGTCTTCAGCGTGAGGAACCTTGTACTCAGCTTGAGGAACCTCGTCGTCAGCGTGAGAAACGTGGTACTTAGCGAGAGGAACGGCGTTCTCAGCGTGAGGAACCTTTTCCTCAGCGTGAGGAACCTTGTCCTCAGCGTGGGAACTTTGACCTCAGCGTGAGGAACGTTGTCCTCATCGTGAGAGACGTTGTCCTCAGCTTGAGGAACGTTGTCCTCAGCGTGAGGAACGTTGCACTCAGCGTGAGGAACCTTGTCCTCAGCGTGGGAACCTTGTCCTCAGACTGAAGAACCTTGTTTTCTGCGTGAGGATCCTCGTTGTCAGCGTGCGGAACCTTGTCCTGAGCGAGAAGAACATTGTCCTCAGCGTGAGGAACGTTGTCCTCAGCGCGAGGAACCTTGTCCTCAGACTGAAGAACCTTGTTTTCAGCGTGAGGATCCACGTCGTCAGCGTGAGGAACGTTGTCCTGAGCGTGAGGAACCTTGTCCTCAGCGTGAGGAACCTTGTCCTCAGCGCGAGGAACTTTGACATCAGCTTGAGAAACGTTGTCCTCAGCGCGAGGAACCTTGACCTCAGCGTGAAGAACGTCGTCCTCAGGGTGAGGAACGTTGTCCTCAGCTTGAGGAATCTTGTCCTCAGCGTGAGGAACGTTGTCGTCAGCGTGACGAACCTTGTCCTCAGCTTGAGGAACCTTGTCCTCAGCGCCACGAACCTTATCCTCAGTGTGAGGAACCTTTTCCTCAGGGTGAGGACCTTGTCGTCAGCGTCAGGAACCTTTCCCAGCGAGATGGGCCTTGTCCTTAGCGTAAAGAACGTTGTCCTCAGCGTGAGGGAAGTTGTGCTCAGCGTGAGGAACCTTGTCCTCAGCGTGAGAAACCTTGTCCTGAGCTTGAGGAACCTTGTCCTCAGCGTGAGAAACGTTGTCGACAGCGTGACGAACCTTGTCCTCAGCTTGAGGAACCTTGTCCTCAGCGCCACGAACCTTATCCTCAGTGTGAGGAACCTTTTCCTCAGGGAGAGGACCTTGTCGTCAGCGTCAGGAACCTTTCCCAGCGAGATGGGCCTTGTCCTTAGCGTAAAGAACGTTGTCCTCAGCTTGAGGAACCTTGTCCTCAGCGTGAGGAACGTTGTCGTCAGCGTGACGAACCTTGTCCTCAGCTTGAGGAACCTTGTCCTCAGCGCCACGAACCTTATCCTCAGTGTGAGGAACCTTTTCCTCAGGGTGAGGACCTTGTCGTCAGCGTCAGGAACCTTTCCCAGCGAGATGGGCCTTGTCCTTAGCGTAAAGAACGTTGTCCTCAGCGTGAGGGAAGTTGTGCTCAGCGTGAGGAACCTTGTCCTCAGCGTGAGAAACCTTGTCCTGAGCTTGAGGAACCTTGTCCTCAGCGTGAGAAACGTTGTCGACAGCGTGACGAACCTTGTCCTCAGCTTGAGGAACCTTGTCCTCAGCGCCACGAACCTTATCCTCAGTGTGAGGAACCTTTTCCTCAGGGTGAGGACCTTGTCGTCAGCGTCAGGAACCTTTCCCAGCGAGATGGGCCTTGTCCTTAGCGTAAAGAACGTTGTCCTCAGCGTGAGGGACGTTGTCCTCAGCATGAGGAACCTTGTCCTCAGCGTGAGGAACCTTTTCCTCAGCGTGAGCAACCTTGTCCTCAGCGTGAGGAACTTTGTCCTCAGCGCGAGGAACCTTGACCTCAACGTAAGGAACGTCTTCCTCAGAGTGAGGAACGTCGTCCTCAGGGTGAGCAACCTTGTCCTAAGCTTGAGGAGCCTTCTCCTCAGCGCGACGAACCTTGTCCTCAGCGTGAGAAACCTTGTCCTCAGCTTGAGGAACCTTCTCCTCAGCGTGGCGAACCTTGTCCTCAGCGTGAGGAACCTTGTCCAGAGCGTGAGGAATGTTGTCCTCAGGGTGAGGGACATTGTCTTTAGCGTGAGGAACCTTGTTCTCAGCGAGATCAACCTTGTCCTCAGCGTGAGGAATCTTGTCCTCAGCGTCAGGGACGTTGTCCTCAGCGTGAGGAACCTTGTCCAAAGCGTGAGGAACCTTGTCCTCAGCGTGGGAACCTGGACCGCAGCGTGAGAAACGTTGTGCTCAGCGTGAGGAACGTTGTTCTCAGCTTGAGGAACATTGTCCTCAGCGGGAGGAACCTTGTCCTCGGCGTGAGGAACCTTGTGCTCAGCGCGAGGAACCTTGACATCAGCGCGAGGAACCTTGTCCTCAGCGGGAGGAACGTTGACCTCAGCGTGAGGAACGTTGTCCTCAGGGTCAGGAACGTTGTCCTCAACTTGAGGAACCTTGTCCTCAGCGCGGTCAGGAACCTTGTCCTCAGATTGAGGAACCTTGCCCTCTGCGCGACGAACCTTATCCTCAGGGTGAGGAATCTTTTTCTCAGCGTGAGGACTTTGCCGTCAGCGTGAGTAACCTTATGCCAGCGAGAGTGGCTTTGTCCTTAGCGTGAGGAACGTTGTCCTCAGCGTGTGGAACGTTGTCCTCAGCGTGACGAACCTTGTACTCAGCTTGAGGAACCTTGTGTCCTCAGCATGAGAAACCTTGTCCTCAGCGTGAGGAACCTTGTCCTAAGCGTGAGGAACCCTGTCCAAAGCGTGAGGAACCTTGTCCAAAGCGTGAGGAACCTTGTCGTCAGCGTGAGGAACGTTGTTCTAAGCAAGAGAAACCTTGTGCTCAGCGTGAGGAACGTTGTCCTCAACGCGTGGTACGTTGTCCTCCGCGTGAGGTACGTTGTCCTCAGCGTGAGGAACGTTGTCCTCAGCGTAAGCAACGTTGTCCTCAGCGTGAGGAACCTTGTCGTCAGCGTGAGGAACGTTGTCCTAAGCAAGAGAAACCTTGTGCTCAGCGAGAGGAACGTTGTCCTCAGCCTGAGCAACGTTGTCTTCAGCGTGACGAACCTTGTACTCAGCTTGAGGAAGCTTGTCCTCAGGCTGAAGAACCTTGTTTTCAGCGTGAGGATCCTCGTCGTCAGGGTGAGGAACCTTGTCGTTGGCGAGAGGAACGTTGTTATAAGCGTGAGGAACGTTGTCCTCATCGTGAGAAACCTTTTCCTGAGCCTGACGACTTTGTCGTCAGGGTGAGGAACCTTATCCCAGCGAGAGTGGCCTTGTCCTTAGCGTGAAGAACGTTGTCCTCAGCGTGAGCGAGGTTGTCCTCAGTGTGAGGAACCTTGTACTCAGCTTGAGGAACCTTGTCCTCAGCGTGAGGAACCTTGTCCAAAGCGTGAGGAACCTTGTCCAAAGCGTGAGGAAAGTTGTCCTCAGCGTGAGGAACCTTGTTGTTAGCGTGAGGAACGTTGTCCTCAGCGTGAGGAACGTTCTCCTCAGCGTGAGAAACCTTTTCCTCAGCCTGACGACTTTGTCGTCCGCGTGAGGAACCTTATCCCAGGGAGAGTGGCCTTGTCCTTAGCGTGAGGAACGTTGCCTCAGCGTGAGGGACGTTGTGCTCAGCGTGAGGAACCTTGTCCTCAGGAAGCTTGAGGACCTTGTCCTCAGCGTGAGAAACCTTGTCCTCAGCGTGAAGAACCTTTTCCTCAGCGTGACCAACCTTGTCCTCAGCGGGAGGAAATTTGTCCTCAGCGCGAGGAACTTTGTCCTCAGCGCGAGGAACCTTGACTTCAGCGTAAGGAGCGTCTTCCTTAGGCTGAGGAACGTCGTCCTCAGGCTGAGGAACCTTGTCCTAAGCTTCAGGAACCTTGTCCTCAGCGCGACGAACCTTGTCCTCAGCGTGAGAAACCTTGTCCTCAGCTAGAGGAACCTTCTCCTCAGCGTGGCGAACCTTGTCCTCAGCGTCAGGAACCTTGTCCAAAGCGTGAGGAATGTTGTCCTCAGGGTGAGGGACGTTGCCTTTAGCGTGAGGAACCTTGTTCTCAGCGAGAGCAATCTTGTCCTCAGCGTGAGGAATCTTGTCCTCAGCGTCAGGGACGTTGTCCTCAGCGTAAGGAACCTTGTACTCAGCTTGAGGAACCTTGTCCTCACCGTGGGATCCTAGACCTCAGCGTGAGAAACGTTGTCCTCAGCGTGAGGAACGTTGTTCTCAGCTTGAGGAACATTGTCCTCAGCGGGAGGAACCTTGTCCTCAGCGTGAGGAACCTTGTCCTCAACGTGAGGAACCTTGTCCTCAGCGCGAGGAACCTTGACATCAGCGTGAGGAAGATTGTCCTCAGCGGGAGGAACGTTGACCTCGGCGTGAGGAACGTTGTCCTCAGGGTGAGGAACGTTGTCGTCAGCTTGAGGAACCTTGTCCTCAGCGCGACGAACCTTGTCCTCAGCGTGAGGTACCTTGTCCTCAGCTTGAGGAACCTTGCCCTCTGAGCGACGAACCTTGTCCTCAGGGTGAGGAATCTTTTCCTCAGCGTGAGGACTTTGCCGTCAGCGTGAGGAACCTTATCCCAGCGAGAGTGGCCTTGTCCTTAGCGTGAGGAACGTTGTCCTCAGCGTGAGGAACGTTGTCCTCAACGTGACGAACGTTGTCCTCAGCGTGAGAAACCTTTTCCTCAGCCTGACGACTTTGTCGTCCGCGTGAGGAACTTTATCCCAGGGAGAGTGGCCTTGTCCTTAGCGTGAGGAACGTTGCCTCAGCGTGAGGGACGTTGTCCTCTGCGTGAGGAACCTTGTCCTCAGGAAGCTTGAGGACCTTGTCCTCAGCGTGAGAAACCTTGTCCTCAGCATGAGGAACCTTGTCCTCAGCGTCAGGAACCTTTTCCTCAGCGTGACCAACCTTGTCGTCAGCGTGAGGAACCTTGTCTTCAGCGCGAGGAACCTTGTCCTCAGCGTGAGGACCCTTGTCCTCAGCGTTAGGAACCTTGTCCTCAGCGTGAGGAACTTTGTCCTCAGCGCGAGGAACTTTGTCCTCACCGCGAGGAACCTTGACCTCAGCGTAAGGAGCGTCTTCCTTAGGCTGAGGAACGTCGTCCTCAGGCTGAGGAACCTTGTCCTAAGCTTCAGGAACCTTGTCCTCAGCGCGACGAACCTTGTCCTCAGCGTGAGAAACCTTGTCCTCAGCTAGAGGAACCTTCTCCTCAGCGTGGCGAACCTTGTCCTCAGCGTGAGGAACCTTGTCCAAAGCGTGAGGAATGTTGTCCTCATGGTGAGGGACATTGTCTTTAGCGTGAGGAACCTTGTTCTCAGCGAAGCAATCTTGTCCTCAGCGTGAGGAATCTTGCCCTCAGCGTCAGGGACGTTGTCCTCAGCGTAAGGAACCTTGTACTCAGCTTGAGGAACCTTGTCCTCACCGTGGGATCCTAGACCTCAGCGTGAGAATCGTTGTCCTCAGCGTGAGGAACGTTGTTCTCAGCTTGAGGAACATTGTCCTCAGCGGGAGGAACCTTGTCCTCAGCGTGAGGAACCTTGTCCTCAACGTGAGGAACCTTGTCCTCAGCGCGAGGAACTTTGACATCAGCGTGAGGAACATTGTCCTCAGCGGGAGGAACGTTGACCTCATCGTGAGGAACGTTGTCCTCAGGGTGAGGAACGTTGTCCTCAGCTTGAGGAACCTTGTCCTCAGCGCGACGAACCTTGTCCTCAGCGTGAGGTACCTTGTCCTCAGCTTGAGGAACCTTGCCCTCTGAGCGACGAACCTTATCCTCAGGGTGAGGAATCTTTTCCTCAGCGTGAGGACTTTGCCGTCAGCGTGAGGAACCTTATCCCAGCGAGAGTGGCCTTGTCCTTAGCGTGAGGAACGTTGTCCTCAGCGTGTGGGACGTTGTCCTCAGCGTGAGGAACCTTGTACTCAGCTTGAGGAACCTTGTGTCCTCAGCGTGAGAAACCTTGTCCTCAGCGTGAGGTACCTTGTCCTCAGCGTGAGGAACCTTGTCCAAAGCGTGAGGAACGTTGTCCTCAGCGTGAGGAACCTTGTCGTCAGCGTGAGGAACGTTGTCCTAAGCAAGAGAAACCTTGTGCTCAGCGTGAGGAACGTTGTCCTCAGCGTGTGGTACGTTGTCCTCCGCGTGAGGTACGTTGTCCTCAGCGTGAGGAACGTTGTCCTCAGCGTGAGTAACGTTGTCCTCAGCGTGAGAACCTTGTCGTCAGCGTGAGGAACGTTGTCCTAAGCAAGGGAAACCTTGTGCTCAGCGTGAGGAACGCTGTCCTCAGCGTGTGGTACGCTGTCCTCAGC